TGCGAAAATCATTTCAGATACGGTTTGGGGTTTAAGTTCCTCACATTTGTAATATTCACTCCAGAACAATGTTATTTGAAATCAGGTATCAGATATTCCCCAGAAATATCTCTGCCAAATTTCACAAGGTAAGTTCAGATTTGTATATAGCTCGCATATGTATCTTTATTCGATTTGGCGTTTATTGTGCACACAATTATTAATATCAGCCCAAATGGAGTAGATTTCGGCACATACTGATGAATTCAGCCCAGAAGCGAATAGTTCAAAGTTGTTGAAAATCTGTTAAGATATATCTATAGCTCGCATATAAATAGGTTTCATTCGATTTCGTGTTTAAGTTGCTCTTTCGATATCGATTCAGATTTGCATATAGCCCTCATATATATCTTCATCCAATTTGACGGTTATTGTACACTAAATATGTAATCAGGGCCGACACAGAAACCATGTCGGTTTTGCTTATTGTCGTTTTTGTAAACCAATGTTGGTTTCATTTGGTGTCATGAAACCAAGTTGGTTTTGTCAATTTCGAATGTAAATAAAACCAATGTTCGAAACAGCTGTTGTTGCTTACATGTGTTGTTTGTTTATTTGTCATTGAAATATCAGTAAAAATAAAGTAAATAAAAAAGGAATAAGTCGCTATAAATAAAGTAAAATGGCATCAGCAGTGGTAGTTTTTGTGTTGTTGGACAAAGAACGCTCAGAAAAGGTGACGAGAAAAGCTCTTAGAGATTTCAGCAACCCACTCTTAGAGATTTCAGCAAATCCACGTTTATGGTCCTCAAAATATCCTTTAAAAATTCTTTAAAAAATCCACATTTAAATTTTTATAAATATCCTTTAAAAATTCTTTAAAAAAATCCACGTTTATAGTCCTTTAAATAGCCTTTACAAATTCTTTAAAAAAATCCACGTTTATAGTCCTTTAAATAGCCTTTAAAAATTCTTAAAAAAAATCCACGTTTATAGTCCTTTAAATAGCCTTTAAAATTTCTTAAAAAAAATTCACGTTTATAGTCCTTTAAATAGCCTTTAAAAATTCTTTAAAAAATCCACGTTTATAGTCCTTTAAATATCCTTTATAAATTCTTTAAAAAATCCACATTTAAAGTTTTTTAAATATCCTTTAAAAATTCTTTAAAAAAACCCACATTTAAAGCTTTATAAATATCCTTTAAAAATTCGTTAAAAAAATCCACTTTTATAGTCCTTTAAATAGACTTTAAAAATTCTTTAAAAAAAATCCACGTTCATGGTCCTTTAAATATCCTTTAAAAATTCTTTAAAAAATCCACATTTAAAGTTTTTTAAATATCCTTTAAAAATTCTTTAAAAAATCCACATTTAAATTTTTATAAATATCCTTTAAAAATTCTTTAAAAAAATCCACGTTTATAGTCCTTTAAATAGCCTTTAAAAATTCTTTAAAAAAATCCACGTTTATAGTCCTTTAAATAGCCTTTAAAAATTCTTTAAAAAAATCCACGTTTATAGTCCTTTAAATAGCCTTTAAAAATTCTTTAAAAAATTCCACGTTTATAGTCCATTAAATAGCCTTTAAAAATTCTTTAAAAAATCCAAAGCAAATGAAAAGTGACAGCTCTAAGCAACTTGGTTTATTTCCAATAACAAAACCAATAACATTGGCTTCTATGACAACCAAAACCGATAAAATTCTAATTCGAAAATAAAACCGATAACATTGATTTTCATGACACCAAATCATTTTTTCTTGTCGTTTTTAAAACCAATAGTGACAAAATTGGTTTCTATGACAGCCCTGAATATCGTCCAAATTGGATGGGTTTTGTACATTAATCTGAATTTATCCTGGAAGCAAATACGATATTTGTTTAAACTCGGTTTCCATATATCTATTGCTCCAATATTTATTTTTTAATACAATCCTTCTCTAAGTCAAAACTTGCACTCTGTAGCAAGAGTTTGATATACCTCCCATATATTAGTTATTTCTAATTCAAAATTGTAACTGCTCTAAATACAAATATACCTTAAAAAAGATTCACCGTTGGTAAAAATGTTCACATAAATTCCCAACATAATTTTTTTTTGTTACGGATATGTATAATGGTAGCGATCCCACCCGACTTTCGACCTTTCATTATTGTTTTTTTTTTTTTTTTTATTATTCTGAGGTGTTCTATTGGGCATCAAATAAGGAGTCACTAGATGGGATATGAACTAAAAGTTTGACCTGATAACTCCAAACCCTATAGGGTACCCTGGAGAAAATGCCTCTGTGGCGGTTAAGACCACTTGATAATATTACTATGACGATTTTTTTATGATTTTCTTTGCGAGACAGTCTAGTATTGAAAACGAGCATTTGATGATATTTTCTAACTAACATTTACATATGTGTAAATGAATGGCTAGGTCGGAGGAAAATATCTGTCCAAATCCTTTATCTGTTTGTACAGTAAAATATTTTTTTTTACAATTTTCGATCTTTTGTGGGGGAGGTGCCAGAAGGAGTGGTATTAAGATGTACTAAGTTTGGACCGGATACTCCCTTCGAAAGTTATCGCGCGCACCAGCCAGACAGACAGACGGACGGACAGCGCCAGATCGACTCCAAATGTCCTGAAACGGAATTGGTCCATAGAGACCTAGGGTGTAAAACCGTTATTTCTATGAGGCACATTTTGGCTATATCAAATGATTTGTACCCTCTCTAGGCATATGGCTGAGGATAGAAAAATATAGGTATCTTTTTGCACTAGCAGAATATTCTTGCATTATCAGAATAAATGTTCAAAATTGTGAACATGTCAAATTCCAAAAAAAAAATTTTTGGTCAAACATCAGTGCCACCTGCCGACTATATGATACCCTACACCACTATGCATATTTGGTAGAGCTCCCGTAATAAAAAATGTATTAAGAATTTATGTAAAGTACGTAGATAATACCATGATAAGGGATCGATAAGAATTATATTAAACAAGTAAATGAGTATCAGTCGGTTTTGCTGATAGATGTATACCCCCAGCCTTGACTTATGATTGTTTAAACAGATGACTTTATATGGGGGAGGTTCCGAAGCAGTTTGCCAATATCGGACCTAAGACTGATATAAATATTAGAACGTGACAGATTTGGACTATATCGACTACTTCCGTTTATTTATATGAGCTATGCGCAAATTTTTGGAAAATATGGAAATATGAGTGAGGAAACAGATATAGCGAACCGATGTATACCATTTTCATACATTATCCAATACAGATAAATATATTGAAGGAAATCGAACATTTATATCCAATTTTATGCGAAATAATAAATTCCGATAAATCATATATTCATATCAAATTTTTGGTTAACATATAGCACGTTGTAAAGAATCGCCGACTTGTTTCTCAAGTTACGACAGGTATAAGTATTGGAAATTGTGACTCTTTGTGGGTGAGGTACCAGAAGGGGTTGGCAGATATATATCCTCTTCACAACAGATGTTGTGCTAGCAAAAAAGTTTGTATGTGGATATTTGAGGAGATGGAGGATGGATTTGGATGCTTTTTCGCTTTCTTTGAGTGTTTTGTTTTTCAAGATCTTGAACCCTATGTGGGGGAGGTACCAGAAGAAGTGGTGCGATCTCTACCATCTTTATGCCAAGTCTGAATGGAATCGGACGTCATTTTCGCGTTTTATGAGTTTCATGCATACTCAAAATGGCGACCCTTTGTGGGGAAGGTACCAGAAGGGGTGGTGTGTAATTTGAAGAGAACCGAATGCTTATTTGGGATTTTATGATCGTTTTGGTTATTCAAAATTTTAACCCTATGTGGGAGAGGTACCAGAAGGAATGTTCCGATCTCTACCATCTTTATAACAGATCTTGTGTTTATGGAAACAGTGAGATGTGCCAAGTCTGAATGGAATCGGATGTCAATTTCGCGTTGTATTAGCTTTAATGATATTCAAAGTTTTGACCCTTTGGGGGAGAGGTACCACAAGGGGTGGAGCGATATATTCCATTTTCACACCAGACTTGGACTAAAAAAATATTGTGCTATGTGTAAGTTGAAGACAATCGGACTCCTCCATCACATTTTATAAGAGTTGTAATTATTCAAAATTTTGACCCTTTGTGGGGGAGGTACTTGATGGAGTAAACCGATATAGTAAATTTTCCCACCTGACTTAGCACTGACGCAAATTTTAGGATTTGCCAAGTTGGAGCAGAATCGGATTATTGTTCCTCTTTTTGTGCAGAAAATATATTTTTTGAAAATTTAGAGCTTTAGTGGGGGAGGTACTTGATGGAGTGGACCGATATATTCCATCTTAACACCAGGCCTTGGGTTAATAAAGATATTGGGATGTGTGAAATTTGAAGACAATCACATTTTATAAGAATTGTAATTTTTCAAAATGTTGACCCTTTGTGGGGGAGGTACTTGATGGAGTGGACGATATTGTCAATTTTCGCACCTGACATAGCACTAACGCAAATATAACAATTTGCAAGGTTGGAGCAAAATCGGTTTATCGTTTCTCTTTCTGTGCAGAAAATATATTTTTTTTTTGAAAATTTCGACCTTTTGTGGGAACATTTTCCATTTCCGAATTCGATCTAAGTTTGACGATGTACCATGTATGAATTAAAACAGATACTCCCTTCGGGACTTATCGTGCGCACCAGCCAGCCAGGCGAAGGGACAGACGGACATCGCTAGATCGATTCCAAATGTCCTGAAACGGATTTGGTCCAAAGAGACCTAGGGTTTAAAAGCGTTATTTCGATGAGGGACGTTTTGGCCGCATCAAATAATAAATATCTTCCCTAGCCACCATAAAACTTATTTTAGTCAAAATTTTGATAAGCTTCTTGTATTACATGGAACCATTTGAAATTTTTTACGATTTCAGTCTTTAATATTTTCTTGATTGAACAAATCTTTTTTTCGAGTGTACTCCACACACATTTAGGGCTATGGGTATTAAATGCCAACATCTCTACGTGCCTCAAATATAATGGATGTACGTCTGTATGTAAATTCCAACATAGAACATGTACCGACGAAGTACATGTGGCATTTGATGTACATTTTCAACCATCTGTATGTGGGTGGTCTCTGCTCATATTTGTGGCTGAGTTCGTGTGTGTGGATGTGTGTGTGAGATTGTGTTAGCCACTTCTTTTTTGCAGCATTGTTTCATATAACTGCAACTTTTGTGCATAATTAAATAATGAAAACAATCAGTTGTTTGCCGTTCATAGTATTGCCAGGATCTCTCAAGCGGAAATCACAGTGACCGACGGTCTGGCCGGCACACCAAAATAAAAGAGCATAAAAACGAAAAAAAAACTAGGAAACCAAATGTTTTAACTTTTGCAAAGCTACTTTGTTGGTGTGTTCACTTTCCTCTTTCGTTCATTCGGTCATTCATTCGTCCATTCAACTTCCAACAATTTGCGGTCGTTTAAAATGTGATTCCGCGGATTTTATGGCCAAGTGCGTGCATTCGAATGCGGGTGTTCCGTTAACGTTTGTTTGCCATTTCCGGCAAACGGGGGGCCAACAGTCAGTCAGACATTTTAAAATAAAAAAACAATGCGTGATTTTTATTATTAATTTCATCAAGCAGGAAGCGAATACCAACAGCCATCGAGTGCGAGAACAAAACACAATTCTAAACGAGATGCAATAAAAATCCATTTCACCATAATTGCTTCGAGAGCCCATAGCCGACGCCGCCATAGCCCATCATCATTGTTGTGCAGAACAATTATTGGCTGACTTTTTAATTGGAATTTCAGAAAAACGAACAAAAATTTCGAACAATTCAAGCAGCAGCGAATTCCCGAAACCGTTCTATGAAAATGTCTTCCCTTGCCAGCCATAAAATGAGTAAGTTATCGGCCGGCGGATTAGAATGTTAATTGTTTTTGGTGGAGTTTATGGAATGTTTGAAATGCCTGTTTCGTGATAGTTACGGCTTGTTAATTGAAGTTAAGGAATTTATTGAAAATATTAAAAAACAAGTAAACAAAGGCTACAGTCGAGCGGGGCCGACCGTTGAATACCCTACAACACTATAATAAACCATACAGTTTATATAGGCGAAATATTCGACAGAAGTCCATAAGATATTGTGACAAATAATAAAAGAAAACCATCAGGTTTCGTTCTCTAATTTTCGAATAATAGCATCTTAAACTAATTTGCTCATTTCCAGTTGCACGTAAATGATCTTCCTAGATCTGGAACCTATAATGACCTATAACCTCTCAGAAGTGGCAAAAGATTAACATTTATTATTGGTTTTTGACTGAAACGCATCTATATGAGATACAGACATTTGACTATATTCTTCAACGAAATCAGCGCTAACGAAATAGTCAGAAGTACGTCTTTCTTGTATTTGTGAATTCTCCAAAAAGTCACTGGAATGGACATTTTCGTATTTTGTCTACAAAAAATGGGAAACTATTCAACACATTGAATATTTTTTGATGGCCATCCGTAACTGCTTGGCTTTTGCAATGTGTGGTAGCCCCCATTCAAATGTGCGTGAGGATCGGGCGATAATTACGACCTGCCGACAATTTTGCAGTTTTTTGGTCCATTTCAACCCCTAAATATATGGCGATCATCTCCAAAAAGAGTAGGCTTCTATTTTGACCCTCATCTTATCCCCATGCAAAATTTCGTAAGGATCGGGCCATAAATGCGATCTGTATATGATATCCTGATATCCTAACTACTTAGTTTTGTTAGCTGTAAAAATATTACCAAATGTTTAATTCAAAATGAAAATATGCCAAAAATATGACAAAATTGAAAAAATATGAGAAAATTTTAGAAAATCAATATTTTCATCTTTAGAGAGATATTTTTATGCAATTTTTAAGACGTTTTTTCTTTCCTGCCAAAAGGCCATTCTGAATTAATGAGAACTGTCGAAATCAGTTCAGCCGTTCTCGACATATAAGAGATTTTTCAAGCATATCTTCTTTGATAGACATATATATCGCACCTATTTTGCTATATATCCGATTTGTTGGATGTTAATATCAATGTAAAGGTCAGAAGTAACCTTGTGATGGCTTTGTGATTTCGCCGGGATTTAAAATATTCGCGGTTTAATGAAAAATTTTGAATTTTTTCAACACAAAAATATGGCCTATTTTACCCGCTAAATATTATCCGATGACCACCCAAATTGGTAGGCTTCTTCCCCGTCATAAACTCTAGCCACATGCGAAATTCCGCGTCGATTGGTCTATAATTGCGACCTGTATAGCTACTGCAAAATCCGACATTTTTTCAGTATTTGGTCCATTTCCACCCCTAAATATTATGCGATCATCTTCAAAAGAAATAGGGTTCTATTCTGACCCTAGCCCCACCTCCATTCTAAATTTCGTGAAGATCGGGCTATAATTGCGACCTATAGAGTGATTACAAATTAACATGGACAGACGGACGGACGGACATACATAGCTAGATCGACTCAGCTCGGCGAGCTAGGAAGATCCATATATACTTTCCTATATGAGAAACCAATGTTACGAGGTGTTACATAATTTTTGGCCCAATCAAACTTATAATACCCCCAACACATAGTGTTGTAGGGTATAAATACAATTTGAAAATGTCCGAATTGAATTGGTATTTGGGAAAGAAAGCCTGATCTACATCGAGTCAGTAATTAAGGACGTTCGTAGGGAAAATGTAGATTTTTACTTGTAGGGCCAATGGAATCGATGTAATGCCATGACGGGAAGTGCCATTCAGCATCAAAAATATTTGAACTCCAATGTTGGAATTTTTCACACAAAAGTTATGGCCTTTTTCCATCATAAAATATAATTTGATCTGATTTAAACTCTAAGACATTGCAAATTTTTGTTTCCGGTCCATTTCATCCCAAAAAATTTTTGAAACTTCTCAAAAAATTACAAACTTATACTCTGGCAGCAACCATGATTCCGGACAGAACTTGAATACATTTCATCGTTAGAATAATATACAATTTGACAATATTTTCGGAATTTCGATTTATTGTTTTTATGCAATCTATATCCATTAAAGAGAAAAATGTTTATACGTTTGATTGTTTGTTTGTAATTTATAGACTCAAAAACCGCTGAATAGATTATTCTGAAAATTTCCAGATATATTTTAGCATCACCTGAATGTAACATAGGCTATATGCATGTATGAAATTTCACTTGGAACTGGAGATATTGCATCAGAGTAGGAGGTACCTCCAATAATTTTATATTTTGTATGCAAATATCTTTTGATCGGTTATAGATACAGTCTCCAAATTTGGATCAGATTTGGATATAGCTTCCATATAAATTTTCGACCGATTTCGTGTATTTGGTGCCTCAAACATGCTTTAAATCTCTTATTTCAATGACATTTGGAATGTATAACGGAATTTGATACAAAAATAATTTTTCCAAATTATATTGAAATCGGTTCAGATTTGGATATAGCTCCCATATAAAGCTGGGGATATATATTTATGTAAGCGACTTTTAAATAAATTACGTTCTTTTAATTTTTATACCCTCAGCCATATGGCTTACGGACCAAATACGCGTCAGGACATTTGCAGTCGATCTAGCGATGTCCGTCCGTTTGTCTGTCTGTCGGCTGGTGCGCACCATAACTCTCGATGGGAGTATCCGATTTAATGCAAACTTGGTATATCATAGTATTATTATCAAACTTAGATCAAGTTCGTAGATGGGCGATATCGGTCCACCAGGTCCGGGATCCAGGTGCGAAAATTGACAATATCGCTCCACTCCATCAAGTACCTTCTCCCCAAAGGGTCAAAATGTTGAATAATTATAATTCTTATAAAATGTGATGTAAGTGTCCAATTGTCATCACAAATCTCAATATTTTTATTTATGCAATGTCTAATGTGAAGATGAAATATATCGATTTACTCCTTCTGGTACCTCCCCGCAAAGGGTTAAATTTTTGAATAACCAAAATGATAATATAATCCCTAATAAGCATCCGGTTCTCTTCAAATTTCATACGTCCCATATCTTCTACTAACAAAAGATCTGCTGTGAAAATGGGATGTATCGGTCCATTTCCTCTGGTTCCTCCCCCAACAAAGGGTCAGAATTTGGAAGAGCCATGAAGCTTGTAAAACGTGAAATTAACATCTGGACAAATCTAAATATTTCTATCAATACAAGATCTGTTATAAAGATGATAGAGATCAGACCATACCTTCTGGTACATCCCCCACAAAGGGTCAACGTTTTGAATAATCAAAACGGATTTCTTTATATTTCACACATCACTATATTTGTATTAACCCAAGATTGGATGGAAGATGGAATATATCGGCCCACTCCTTCTGGTACCTCCTCAACAAATGGTCAAAATTTTGAATATCCATGAAGCTCATAAGACACGAAATTAATATCCAATTCCATTCCAGACTTGCTACATCTCAATAATTCCATCAACACAAGATCGGTAATAAAGATGGTAGATATCGGACCGTTTCTTTTGCTACGTGCCCCACATAGGGTTCAAGATTTTGAAAAACAACACGCTCAAAGAAGGGGAAATAAGCATCCAACTCTCTTCAAATTTCACACATAGGGACATTTCTGCGAACCCCTTCTGGTACCTCACCGACAAATAGTCACAATTTTCAATACTTTTATCTGTCATAACTTGCGAAACAAGTCAGCGATTCTTTACAACTTGCTATATCTAAATATTTCTCTAAAACAATAATCTGAAAAGAATATGGAATCTATGATTTCGCAAAAAATTGAATATAAATGTTCGATTTTCTCGTAATTTTGCCCATACCAATAATTTTATCTGTACTAGTGTGAAAATGAAATATTTCGGTCGACTATACCCGCATCATGCACATTTTAAAATTTTTTAAAAATGACACGTCGCAATATTTATATCATTTGCATTGAGGTCCGATACGAAATGGACAATATTGGAACCTACTCCATAGAGGTTCAACAATTTGAATAATCATAATAGATGTTAAGATATATTTAAATAATCGAACATTGGTTGAGGATATACATCTCTCGGCTAAACCGACTGATACTTTTTAACTTGTTTTATCACAACTTAGAAGTATCTGTGGAGGAAGTGTCAGAAAAAGCTGATTTAATAAAAGCAAGTAAAACAAGTAAGCAAAGGCTACAGACGAGCGGGGCCGACCGTTGAATACCCTACAACACTATAATAAACGATACAGTTTATATAGGCAAGCAAGGAAAGAATTCCACAAGATATTGTGACAAATAATAAAAGAAAACCATCAGGTTCCGTTCTCTAATTTTCGAATAATAGCAACTTAAACTAATTTTCTCATTTTCAATTTATTGGTAGATGTTGCACGTAAATGGTCATCCTAGATCTGGAACCAATATTTCCCAAAGACCTATAATCTCTCAGACGTGGCAAAAGATTAACATTTATTATTGGTTTTTGACTAAAACGCATCTATATGAGATACAGACATTTGACTATATTCTTCAACGAAATCAGCGTTAACGAAATAGTCAGAAGTGTGTCTTTCCTGTATTTGTGAATTCTCCAAAAAGTCACTGGAATGGACATTTTCGTATTTTGTCTACAAAAGTTGGCAAACTATTTCGCACATTGAATATTTTTGGATGGCCATCCAAACCTGCTTGGCTTTTGCAATGTCCTGTAACCCCCATTCAAATGTGCGTGAGGGTCGGGCGATAATTACGACCTGCTGACAATTTTGCAGTTTTTTGGTCCATTTCAACCCCTAAATATATGGCGATCATCTCCAAAAAGAGTAGGCTTCTATTCTGACCCTCATCTTATCTCCATGCTAAATTTCGTAAGGATCGGGCCATAAATGCGATCTGTATATGATATCCTGATATCCTAACTACTTAGTTTTGTTAGCTGTAGAAATATTACCAAATGTTTAATTCAAAATGAAAATATGCCAAAAATATGACAAATTGAAAAAATATGAGAAAATTTTACAAAATCAATATTTTCATCTTTAGAGAGATATTTTTATGCGATTTTTTTAGACGTTTTTTCTTTCCTGCCAAGAGGCCATTCTGAATTAATGAGAACTGTCGAAATCAGTTCAGCCGTTCTCGACATATGAGAGATTTTTCAAGCATATAAACATATATATCGCACATATTTTGCTATATATCCGTTTTGTTGGATGTTAACATCAATGTAAAGATAAGAAGTAACCTTGTCATGGCTTTGTGATTTCGCCGGGATTTAAAATATTCGCGGTTTAATGAAAAGTTTTGAATTTTTTCAACACAAAATATATGGTCTATTTTACCCGCTAAATATTATCCGATGACCACCCAAATTGGTAGGCTTCTTCCCCGCCCTAAACTCTGCGTCGATTGGTCTATAATTGCGACCTGTATAGCTACTGCAAAATCCGACATTTTTTCAGTATTTGGTCCATTTCAACCCCTAAACATTTGGCGATCATCTCCAAAAGAAATAGGCTTCTATTCTGACCCTAACCCCACCATCGTGCAAAATTTCGTAAGGATCGGGCCATAATTGCGACCTGTAGAGTGATTACAAATTAACATGGACAGACGGACAGACGGACGGACGGACATACATAGCTAGATCGACTCAGCTCGGCGAGCTAGGAAGATCCATATATACTTTCCTATACGGGAAACCAATATTCCGAGGTGTTACATAATTTTTGGGCCAATCAAACTTATAATACCCCCAACACATAGTGTTGTAGGGTATAAAAAGCTGTAAGTTAGGCCCGCCGAACTTTGATTACCCTCCACCATTTGGTACAAAATTTGGCAATTCTCAAAAAAATAAAATCCGTTAAAAATTCTGTTAAAATCTTAAAAATACCGAATGTAGCCGTATATTAGGGTCTATATGACAACGTGGACCTGCATAGGTACATTTTGTCACAAGCTACTACAATATTGAATTTCGACACTTGAAAAAAATCATGGACCCGCACAGACAATTTTCTGTCATAGGCTGTAATATCCATTACGAACTTCAAATGCGAAATTTAAATCAATTCAAGTAAATAATGTATTAGTGATATCATCAAAATACCAAATATCAGGGGGTACCGTTATATGGGGGCTGTTCGAAGACGTGGACCTGAGTAAAATTTTATCAAGCTACTTCATTTTGTTCGGAAGCTAGAATACCAAAACAGAATACCAAAATAAAATATCAAATTTGAATAATGTCGCTTAAATCATCAAAGTACCGAATATCTGGAGGTACCGTTATATGGGGCTATACGAAGACGTGGACCTACATGGCCCATTTTCAATAACAAAAGTCCTGTAGACATAATACACATTTGAGTAAAATTTTATCAACCTACTTAATTGTGTTCGGAAGCTAGAGTGATTCCCACAGACGGATAGACGGACGGACATCGCTAAATCGACATAGAATTTTATGCTGATCAAGAATATATACACTTTGTGGGGTCTAAAATGTATATTTCGTATGTATATTAATAAATTCTCCATACCCCAACCTGTGTTGGAATGCGAAAAAATATTACAAAATATGCACTTCAATATTTTAAGTCAAAATTGAAAAAATCGCATGCGATAAAAAATGTGAAAAAATAAAATAATGTCACAAAATACTAAAAAATCTATATTAACACCATTATCGTCATCATTTTATGCGGGTTTTTTTTTAGATCTCATACTTTTGTGCCACGAGGGCATTCTCAATTCACAACATTTGTCAAAATAGGTCCAGTCATTCTTGAGATATAAGCATTCTATCTAACATCCCCTTCCTTTGTATATATACATTGTATATATTTCGCTATATATATTCGATATATTTACTATCGGCATCTGTGTTACGGTCAGAATTGACCCGTTCGCCTATTTGTGATTTCGCCGGGATTAAAAATATTCGCGGTTTGATGGAAAATTTTACTTTATTTAACAGATATGTTATGGTCTATTTCACCCACTAAATATTAACCGATGAGCCATTGGAAATTAGAAATTGGAAAACTTCTGCCCAGCCATTAGCTCTAGGCCCATGCTAAATTCTGCGTCGTTTGGCCTATTATTGCGACCTGTAGAGCAACTGCAAAATTATGAAATTTTTCAGTTTTTGGTCCATTTCGACCCCTAGATGTTATGCGATCATCTCCAAAAGCAATAGGGTTCTATTCTGGTTCCAGCCCCACCTCGTGAAGATCGAGCCATAATTGCGACCTGTAGAGTGATTACAAATTAAGATGGACAGACGGACGGACGGACATACATAGCTAGATCGACTCAGCTCGGCGAGATAGGAAGATCCATATATACTTTCCTATATGGGAAACCAATATTTCGAGGTGTTACATAATTTTTGGCCCAATCAAACTATTATAAGTTTGACATGTATATTAAACTATTATAAGTTTGATTGGGCCAAAAACACATAGTGTTGTAGGGTATAAATATTGACATTTGAAAGATACATTTTCCCAGAAAAAAATTATATAAAATATTTTGGTGTAGCTCCGATATAAAGGTGTGCCATGTTATATCATTATTTTGTATAGCCTTGACCATACTTTCCAATCATATTATCTGAGAAATTGTTACTCTTGGAAAAGATTTGTAAGGAACGCTTTTATATAATTTAAATATTTTCAATTATTTGACAAGCTTTTTGCTGGATTTATGATTTATTCAAAAAAAAAAAAAAAAAAATAATAATATAAAAATAAAAAAAAAGAAATTAATTGAGTATGTTTTTAAATTTTTAACTTTTGATCTATTTTCAGTGGACGAGGATGTCCATGAGAAGGAGAAATCATCCACATGCAGCACATTATTGATATTTTTGTCAGTAGCCTTAATAATTCTAACACTGCCGTTTAGTTTGTTCGTTTGTTTTAAGGTAAATGCTTTAATGCAGAATTTTTTGCATAGTTTAATATAAAACATTTACGTTTTTTCTTTTACCTCTTAATTTCCTGATCCTTTTTCTTTCCCTCTCTTCCAAAAAAAAATAGGTTGTTCAGGAATATGAACGGGCGGTTATATTTCGTTTGGGACGTTTAATGTCCGGTGGTGCCAAAGGACCAGGTAAGCACCCATACACTTGAATATATATATCTTGCTGATGTGAATGTGATTGCAGATGCAAGTCTCGACAAATGGCCAATCACATTGGCATCAACAGCGCCAGCAGCAGCGATTACGACTCAATCTCAATTAAAATCCTTTTTATTGTTAATTTCAGGTATATTTTTCATTTTGCCTTGCATCGATTCCTATGCTCGAGTGGATTTGCGTACGCGAACGTACGATGTGCCACCGCAAGAGGTAAGTGAGTGGATAGAATGAGTGATGGAGATGGTGATGATGGCCACAGCTTTCGTTTAATTAGCTTCAATTTGTTCTTTTTTTGTGCAGCATTGTATGGCATATTTGCATTCCATTTATATTCCATTTTTTATTTCTGCAGCTTTTTTAAGTTTCACATTTTTTTGTGTTGTGGCACTTTTTATTTAATTCTCATTTAATTTCCATAGCATGGTCAGAACAATTAAGACAAATAGAGAAATAAAAAGATATAAAAAAGAGATTGGTGAATTTAAAATGAAAGCAATATTTAAAATTAAAGAAGTGCATGCCGGTTATACGTGACCTGAAGGTGGTAGAGAAGAGGTCTGATATATCTCGACTTATTTCCATGTGGGAAATATTGTATTTATATTTTGTATATATTAATGATCGGCGTAAAATTCTATGTCGAGTAAGCCATGAAACTTTTAAACTTTTAAGTTTAAAAAATTTTAAAAAGGATTGATTTTGGAAATGGATGATATTGGTTCAGGAATATACATCATATTGACGTACCTCTTCATTGTCGATATTTTGGAGGCCACAAATTCCAGTCAAATCGACTACAAATTAACATATGGGTAGAGTTGAACGAATTAGTTCCCTATCTACTTAAGTACTAGCTACTTGTATGAAAACTCTGCGTATGAGTGATATGATATATATGAAATCACTCATACGTTTAAGTACAGGTGTACCGAACTTAACTTGATAGGCACAAGTTCCAAAGACCTAAAATGGTAAAGACTAGACAAAATGCATTCTGAGCAAATGGTTTGTGTCTATACTGTCTGGGTAACAGCTTATGGCAGGACCATGTTAATATAAAAAAATATATTTATAGAAAAAAATGACAAACAAAAGTTTGAAAAATCCAAAAATTGGGTTTCAAAATTCTATTCCATAGACTTTCCAAATTAATTGCATATTGCCTAAGCGGTTTAAATCGCATAACATTTCTAACTATGTTGTTACGATATCATAACAACAGAGGTATTTTCACAGGGTTGCCATATATTGACTCTGTCTTGTCCCATCTTTATACTTCTATGTCTTTGCAAGTTCTACATGTAGGCCTTAAAGTCGTCGTGATATCGGCTTATAACAGTGTCGTACATATAGGTACAGTTGGTCGAATTGGTTCCCTATATAATTAAGTGGACTCTGCGTATGAGTGATATGAAATATAGGAAATCACTCATACGTTTATGAACTGGTGTACTGAACCGAAATAGACTGGCACAACTCTACATGTAGGCCTTAAAGTCGTCATGATATCGGCTTATAACAGTGGCGTACCATTTTCCACTTCTCGTACCCTTTAAGTACGAATTTCGAAAATTTTTCTCCTCATATCAGGACTTTAAACCATCAGTGACCTTACCTTGAATTTCAAGGCCCTGGCATCAGATGAATCGCCATTGCTATTCAGGTGTTGATGTTATAATTAATAGATAATAGTATTTAAAATGGTGACCGTTTGTGGGCGAGGTACCAGAAGGAGTTCGCAGACATATGTCATCTTCACAACAGATCTTGTGTTAGGTTGGTGTGTGTGAAATCTGAAGAGAGTTGGATGCTTATTTCAATTTATCTAAAGATTTTGTTTTTCAAAATGTTGAACCCTCTGTGGGGGAGATAGCAGAAGAAATGGTCCGATCTCTACCATCCTTATAACATATATTGTGTTGATGCAAGTATTGAGACGTAGCATGTCTGAATGGATTCGGATGTTAATTTTGCGTTTTATGAGCTTCATGGGTATACACAAATTTGACCCTTTGGGGGAGGTACATGATGGAGTGGACCGATATATTACATCTTTAGACAAGACCTTGGGTTAATAAAACTATTGTGGTGTGTGTAATTTTTAGACAATCGCACCCTTACATCACATTTTGTAGGAGTTATAATTATTCACAATTCTGATCTTTTATGGGGGAGGTAATTGATGGAGTTGACCGATATTGTCCATTTTCGCACCTGATGTAGCACCTATGCAAATATTAGGATTTGCAAAGTTGGAGCAAAATCGGATTATCCTTTCTCGTTCTGAACAGCAAAATATATATATTATTTTAAAATTTCGATCTTTTGTGGTTGAAGTACCAGAAGGAGTGGGCCGAAATTTCCCATCTTCGAATTCGATCTAAGTTTGGCAATAATATTAGGATGTACCAAGTTTGGACCAAATCGGATACTCCCTTCGAATTCGATCTAAGTTTGACAATAATATTACGATGTACCAAGTTTGGACCAAATCGGATACTCCCTTCGAGAGTTATCGTGCGCACCAGCCAGCCAGTCAGCCCGACAGACAGACAGACTGAAATCACTACATCACTCCAAATGTCCTGAAACAGATTTGGTCGAAAGATACCTAGGGTCTAAAACCGTTATTTCGATGAGACACGTTTTCGCCGTATCAAATAATATATACCCTCTTTAGCCATATGGCTGAGGATATAAAAATCAGGGGCTGGATTCTTGTTCTATGAAAGTATGAAGTAAAAACAAGTAAGTAAAAGCTATATCCGTGCGGGGCTGAACATGTGATACACTACAACACTACAATATAATGAGCTCCCTTATGCCCAAATCTATTTGGAAGATTACGTTTTTGAATTAATGTCATAAGGCCCTACTCAGAGATTACCTTTAGGTTCTTGACCGGGGACATTTGCCCAATATTTACGCATTTGTCGTGTTGTTAGGTATTCAAAGCCATTTCACCCGAAAAGGTCACCAAAAATTCTAGACTTCTTCACTGTCCTTAACTCCCTTATCATTAAAAATTCCGTATCGATTAATTTCCATGTGTGACCTATAAAGCGACTACAAAATCAGGATTTTTTTAAATTTTTTGCTCCACTCGAACCCCTAAAACAATAGGCTTTAATTCAGACTCTAACCCCATCCCCATGCAAAATTTCCTGAGGATCGGACGATAATAGCGACCTACCCTTAACACATAGTACTGCGGGGTGTAGAAAACCTTTTTAAAATGAACAATTCAAAAGTGTAAGTAAAATTAAACAAGTTAAAAAGCAGTAAGTTCGGCCGGGCCGAACTTTTAATACCCTCCACCATTTGCAACGAATTTGGAAATTTTCAAAAAATAAAATCCTTAAAAAATTCTGTTAAAATTTTAAAAATACCGAATATAGCAGTTATATATACGACGTGGACATACATATGCATTGTTTGTCATAAGCCATTACCATATTCAAATTCGAAACTTGAAATAAGCGATGAATAATGTAGCTAAAATCATTAAAATATCGTATATAAGGAGGTGCCGTTAAATTGGAGCTGTGCGAAGACCTGGACCATCATAGACAATTTTCTGTCACATGCTGTAGCATCCTATACGAACTTCAAATACCACATCTCAAACAATTTCGGTGGGTATTGTACCTAAAATCGCTAAAATACCGAATATAGGGAGGCACTGATATATGGGGCCTATACGAAGACCTGGACCCGCACCGGCAATTTTCTGTCACAGACTGTAGTTCCCATAACGAACTTCAAATACCAATTTTGAAACAATTCCGGCGAATAATGTCGCTAAAATCATCAAAATACCGAATATAGGGAGGTACCGTTATATTGGGGCTATAAGACGACGTAGACCTGCAAAGACAATTTTCTGTCTTATGGTGTAGTATCCATTTGGAACTTCAAATACCAAATTTGAAACAATTCCCGTGAATAATGTCGCTAAAATCATCAAAATACCGAATATCGGGAGGTACCGTTATATGGGGGCTATATGAAAACGTGGACCTACATGGCCCATTTACGAACTTAAGCTGCCTACTGGAAAAATAAACATGTGTGCAGAATTTTAGCCATCTATCTCAATTCATTCGAAAGATAGCGTGACTACAACAGACAGACGGACAGACAGACGGACATTGCTAAATCGACTTAGAATTTTACCCTGATCAAGAATATATATACTTTGTTGGGTCTGACATGAGTATTTCGAGGAGTTACAAACGGAATGACAAAGTTAATATACCCTCCATAGTATGGTGGAGGGTATAAATATCGCATCGCAAATTGAAAAAAATATTCACTTTTTGTTGACATATTTTTAAGAGATTTTCTTAGATTTTATCTTTTTCTGGAAAGGAGAACTCCTACATATATTGTGACTATCTCCAAAAAAAATAGGCTTCCACCTCCACCTCCATTTTTAATTTTCATTCCATTGACAAAGAATAGGACACAGAACGCCATGCAAGTGTTTGGCCTTATCATTTAATGGAAACTTCCCTTATCCATACCCATCTCGGAATGAGTGACGAAATAATTTTTATTATCTTAACCATTTCCTGACGTCCCCTCCCCTCCCTTAATACGTCGAGCATTGTGTGTAACTGGTTTCTGCTTAATAAACAATTTTTATGACTTAAAAGTGATTTATGGTTTTTGGCTTAATACGAAACAAGCCCTTTTCAGCCACACACATTCTCGCTTACTCGCATTTAAGAATGATACACACAAACACACATATACAACAAAGACATTAGCCATTCTTTGGTTAAATCTTATTGAAAAAAAAAAAAAACTTAAACAAATTTGCGAAACAAGAACGGAGAGATAAACGAAATTCCCTGAATGGCATTTTTGTTGGAAAGGTTAAAACTCAAGTTGTGGAATATTAACGTTGGGCTGTATTACTATAAGTAATGTAGAAAATGAAATAAAAGCAAGTAAGTAAGGGCTATAGTCGTGCCGGGACGACCATGTGATACCCTACATCACTACAAGATAGTGGAAGCCCCCTTATGTCAAAATCTAATTTGGATGATTTCGCTTTTGAAATGATGCCATAGAGCCCTGTCCAGATGTTAGCCTTAGCTTTTTGATTGGGGGCATTTGTTCTATAATTACGCACTCAGTCATGTTGTTAGGTATTCAAAACAATTTGTGCGAAAGTTGTGTCCATTTTACAGCCAAATATATACCAATAGTCAATCGAAAATGCTAGACTTCTTCTCTGTCCTTAAATCCCTTCTCATACAAAATTCCGTGTCGATTGGTTTCCAATTATGACCTGTAAAGCGACTGCAAAATCAGAAGAATTTGATACATTTGAACTCCTAACTATGCATCTTCCAAACAATAGACTTTTATTCTGACCCTAACCCTACCTCCATGCAAAATTTCGTGAGGATTGGACGATAATTGCGACCTGTATAAAATACCTCTGTAGAACAATAGTAAAATCAGGAAATTTTTCTGTTTTTGGTCCATTTAAACCCCTTAATATTTGGCGATCATCTTCAAAAATAATAAGTTTCTGTTCTGACCCTAACCCACCTACATTTTCAATGTCTTGATTACAAATTAACATGGACAGACGGACGGACATACTTAGCTAGATCGACTCAGCTCGGCGAGATAGGAAGATCCATATGTAGTTCGCTATGTCGGGAAGCCAATATTTCGGGATGTTACATAATTTTTGGCCCAGTCAAACTTATAATACCCCTAACACATAGTTTTGTAGGGTATACAATATACGAAATTTGAAAGAATTCCAGTGAATAATGTCGCTAATATCATCAAAAAAACCAAAAACTGGGAGTTACCGTTATATGTGGGCTATACGAAGACATAGATAATTTTTTGTTAAAAGTTTTAATACTCACAACGAACTTCAATTACGAAATTTGAAAAAATTCCGATGAGTAATGTCGCTAAAATCATCAAAACACCGAATTTTGGGAGGTACCGTTATATAGGGACGTGGACCTGCATGATTAATTTTTTTTCATAAGTTGCAGTACCTATTAAGAACTTCCAATACGAAGTTGAATACAATTTCGTTGAATATTGGGGCTAATATAATACAAGTACGGAATATCGGGAGGTACCTTTACATGAAGGCCATACGAATTTAAACCGCCTACCAGCAAAATACACATGTGCGCCAAATTTTAGCTTTCTTCTTCAATTAATTGGAAATATAGTGTGCTTACAACAGACAGACGAACATCGCTAGATCGACTTAGAATGTTACGAATCAAGAATATACAGGGTGAGATAAAAAACTACAAAAAAAAAAAAAAAGACAAACGCCATAATTTTTTCCTTTTTTTTAATTTTTTTAATTGAAATCGAAAAATGTCGGAAATAGTATCAAATTTTAGAATAAGTTTAGATTTGTTCGAATTGGTCACCTTTGACACGAATTATGGCCTTCAAACAGCCAATGAAACCGTCACCCGCTGCCCGAATGTTGCTCTGCGATACTTTTGGCCTATTCCCGGCGAAGGCTTTTGCTTGAGGTGATCGACACTTTGGTATTTTTTAGTGCTAACCTTGCTCTCTAAAATACTCCAGACACAATAGTCCAACGGATTGGTATCCGGAGATTTTGGTTGCCATTGTGCGCTGAAAATGAAGTGAGGAACCTCATATTGTAACCATTCTTGGGTGGCGCGTACTAAGTGCGATGGTGCTGAGTCCTGTTGGAATGTCCAAGGTCTGCGGCCAACATTTTTGCGTGCCCAAGACTTTAATACACCCTCCAGAATAATACCCTCACGATAATATTCGGCATTTATTCTGATGCCACGTCGATTAATACGAGCGGAGAGCGACCATCGGCTGTTATGGCGGCCCACACCATCACCATGGCCGGCGCTTGAGTTCTGGTGGCCAAGCGAAGGTGCACATTTTCAGCTGACCTCTTTGGCAAGTAAAAACGATCATTCTGTTTGTTTACAAATTGCTGGACAATGAATGTTTTCTCATCGGAGAAAACCAAATTCGGCAGTTCACCACTTTCGGCCAAGCGAAGCAACTCTTTAACTCTTTTGAGTCAAGTTTCTTTCTGTTGTGGTGTAAGTTCTTACAGTCTTTTGAATTGCAGTGGCTTTACTCCGAGCTCATTTTTCAATATTTGCCGAATGGAATATTGCGATCGATATGTTTAGCTCACGAGCCATTTTGCGGCCACTGTCGAAACACAAAGATTTATTCACATTTAAATGCTGGAGTGCTCTAACGATAGCCAGTTGTGTTATGGCGGCCCACACCATCACCATGGCGCTTGAGTTCTGGTTGCCAACCGAAGGTGCACATTTTCAGCTGACCTCTTTGGGAAGTAAAAACGATCATTTTGTTTGTTTACCAGCTGCTGGAGCTCTTTTGAGTCTATTTTCTTTCTGTTGCGGTGCAAGTTCTTGCACTTCTTGGAATTTCAATGGCTTTTCCCCGAGCTCATTTTTCAATATTTTCCAAATGAAATTTTGCGATATGTTCAGCTCACAAGCCATTTTTCGGCCACTGAGACGCGGGTTTCGATCAAGTCGCTTCTATACTTTTCGAACCATTTCTGGTGATGTTGCTGTTTTCTTCCGCCCACATCTTTGACGTCGAGTTACGCTACCAGTATCACGGTGAAGAGAGATGGTACGAGGCACAAAAGATTTATTCACATTTAAATGCTGGAGGCCTCTAACGATAGCCACTTGTGGTTTTTCAGCTAAATATGAAGAAATCACGCTATCGCGCTTGAAATCCATCACGAATCACTTTTTTTGAAAATTCTGACCAAAATGCTTTTGTATACTTGTAAAAAATAAATGAGCTATCACTGGAATAATTTTAACAGCTGTCGGACGAGTGGCTTAGAAATGACAGGAGTCTGAAGTTGGTTGCAGTTTTTTCACCTCACCCTAAAAAAATTAATTTTAAAATGTTTGTTTTGTAAAACTCTTGAATTTATTTTATTTATTTTATCATGTTATCAAAATTCCAGTTTTATTTTACCGATACGACCCATTGTCTTGCATGCAATAAACTTTAACCTCCATTTCATTTATTCTTTACGAAATCTGGATAAACGTAACTCCCTTTCTCTTGCTATTCTCTTTTTGCCACTGATTACTTAAAATATCCTTGCGTTCTCTTTACATCTTCCACACACACAGGTCCTGACGAAAGACAGTGTAACGGTTTCGGTAGATGCCGTTGTCTATTATCGCGTTTCGAATGCCACCGTCTCCATTGCGAACGTGGAGAATGCTCATCACTCGACGCGTCTGCTGGCACAGACAACGCTGCGCAACACAATGGGAACACGGCATTTGCATGAGATTCTAAGCGAGCGTATGACAATTTCCGGTACAATGCAGGTAAGAAGTTACGACGGCGATGACAACGATCATCCTTTCATGTCTTGTCTTACGGTTTTGGTTTTATTCATTGTTTTCCTTGGTTTTTTTCTTTTTTGGAGGGATATTGTCTTGTCGTTGAAAGCAATTTTTGCCAAGAACAGTAGCTACAGCGACAGCGTAGCCGTAACAAATGCTTCAAGTGCTTTATGCATTTTTTATTTGCAAATAAATGTTTTAACATAAAAGTAATAAATGCAATACCCTGCCGGGAGGTGGAGAAGGGGGAGAGGTAATTTTTTCTTGTGCCGCCATCGTTGTAGTATGGCAGGAAGTCAGGCAGTTGTAAGAACCAGGTTAAAGGGAAAAATACAGTCGAACAAAGGACACAGTTGTTGATCCATTTGTTGTCGGTCGTAGTTGTTGTTGTTGTTGCGTGTTGTTTTTTTTTTCTGAAGATTTGACTTTTAAATTTTCAGTTTTGTTTACAGCGTTGACAACTGAAGAGGGCCACAAATAAATGGATTGTTGAGAACGGATTTCAGTTGTTTTGTTGGCCAGTCCAAAATAACTAATTGAGTTGTAACTTGATTGGACTTTTTTTTTTTTTTGGGGGGGGGGGGGTGGGTGTGGAAGACGAAAACTTAAATAGTAACTAAAGTTAATATTTAAATTGTAGCTGAATGGATTTAATATTTATACCCTACAACACTATGTGTTGGGGTATTATAAGTTTGAATGGGCCAAAAATTATGTAACACCTCGAAATATTGATTTCCCACATAGGAAAGTATATATGTATCTACCTAGCTCGCCGAGCTGAGTCGATCTAGCCTTGTATGTCCGTCCGTCCGTCTGTCCGTCTGTCCATGTTAATTTGTAATCACGCTACAGGTCGCAATTATGGCCCGATCCTTACGAAATTTTGCACGAAGGTGGGGTTAAGGTCAGAATAGAAGCCTATTTCTTTTGGAGATGATCGCCAAATGTTTAGGGGTTGAAATGGACCAAATACTGAAAAAAGTCGGATTTTGCAGTAGCTATACAGGTCGCAATTATAGACCAATCGACGCGGAATTTCGCATGTAGCTAGAGTTAAGGGCGGGGAAGAAGCCTACCAATTTGGGTGGTCATCGGATAATATTTAGCGGGTAAAATAGACCATATCTTTTGTGTTGAAAAAATTCAAAATTTTTCCTTAAACCGCGAATATTTTAAATCCCGGCGAAATCACAAAGCCGTGACAAGGTTACTTCTGATCTTTACATTGATGTTAACATCCAAGAAATCGGATATATAGCAAAATATGTGCCATATATCAAAGAAGATATGCTTGAAAAATCTCTTATATGTCGAGAACGGCTGAACTGATTTCGACAGTTCTCATTAATTCAGAATGGCCTCTTGACAGGAAGAAAAAACGTCTAAAAAATCGCATAAAAATATCTCTCTAAAGATGAAAATATTGATTTTGTAAAATTTTCTCATATTTTTTCAATTTTGTCATATTTTTGGCATATTTTCATTTTGAATTAAACATTTGGTAATATTTCTACAGCTAACAAAACTAAGTAGTTAGGATATCAGGATATCATATACAGATCGCATTTATGGTCCGATCCTTACGAAATTTTGCATGGGGATAAAACGAAGGTCAGAATAGAAGCCTACTCTTTTTGGAGATAATCGCCATATTATTATTTTCAGCAAGTCGTAACTATCGCCCGATCCTCACGCGCATTTGAAAGGAGGTTACCGGACATTGCAAAAACCAAATAGTTTTGGATGCCATCCAAAAATATTCAATGTGTGAAATAGTTTGCCAACTTTTGTAGACAAAATACTAAAATGTCCATTCCAGTGACTTTTTGGAGAATTCACAAATACAGGAAAGACGCACTTCTGACTATTTCGTTAACACTGATTTCGTTGAAGAATATAGTCAAATGTCTTTATCTCATATAGATGCGTTTCAATCAAAAACCAATAATAAATGTTAATCTTTTGCCACTTTTGAGAGATTATAGGTATTTGGGAAATATTGGTTCCAGATCTAGGAAGACCATTTACGTGCAACATCTACAAATAAATTGGAAATGAGCAAATTAGTTTAAGTTGCTATTATTCGAAAATTAGAGAACGAAATCTGATGGTTTTCTTTTATTATTTGTCACAATATCTTGTGGAATTCTTTCGAGTATCTCGCCTATATAAACTGTATCGTTTATTATAGTTTTGTAGGGTATCCAACGGTCGGCCCCGCTCGACTGTAGCCTTTGCTTACTTATTTGTTGTTTAAGAATAACTTTTGTTGTTGTAATAGGGTGGTTATTAGTTTTCATAGGTGGTTTCCCCCAGAAAATTCGTAATATTTAAATATACGGATTAATGGTAATTTGTGTCGCATTAGTGTCGTACTGATTGTTTTATTAGATGGCAATGGTTGGTAATGTTTATGGATGATTAGTAAGGACTTGTTCTGGGAATTTCCAGTAGATGAGAAATTAAATTTGTAGTTTTAGGATATTAATACCTTGAATTTAAGAAAATCTTTAATTTTCGTATAATAGTTACTATTGAAATTCAGGTTCCAGGAAATTCGACACAAGAAGCTACCAAACTTGTAAAACCCCAATATGGGAAAGAAATATGGCAACATTTATTTTCAAAATTTCCCCAAAATACTGTGGATTTCCTATTGCAGTCATTGTGCCATTTTTAAGATCCTCTGCAAAATCATAGATATTATGTTCCATATTACATCCTAATTTTTATACCCTCCACCTTGGAAAGGAGGGTATATTAACTTTGTCATTCCGTTTGTAACATCCTTAAATATTCGTCTTAGACCCCATAAAGTATATATATTCATAATCAGCATAAAATTCTAAGTCGATATAACGATGTCCGTCGGTCTGTCTGTCCGTCTGTCTGTCTGTTGAAATCGCGATACAGCCCACATTATTTGACGTAGAGCGCCAAAATTTAGCAGAGCTATTTGCATTGTGTCTAGGATGGTTGGTATTGAAAATGAGATATATCGGTCCACGTTCTGGTATAGTCCCATATAACGGTACCTCTCGATATTCGGTATTTTGATGATTTATGCCACATTTTTCACGGATTTGTCTGGAAATTGGTATTTGTAGGTCATAACGGGTCTCTGAGCGTGTGGCAAAACATTGCATGTATAGGTCCACGTTGTGGTATAGCCCCCATATAAAGGTACCTCCTGATATTCGGTATATTAGTTTTTTTTTACAAACATTTTTTCAGGGATTTGTCTAAAAATTGGTATTTGTGGGTCATAATGGTTTCCAGCTCCGGTGGCGAAACATTGCATGTATGGGTCCATGATTTGGTATAGCCCCCATATAACTATACCTCCCGATATTCGGTAATTTGATGATTTTTGCAACCATTTTTCACGGATTTGTCTGAAAATTGGTATTTGTTGGTCATAATGGGTTCTAGCTCCGGTGGCGAAACATTGCATGTATGGGTCCATGATTTGGTATAGCTCCCATATAACAGTACCTCCCGATATTCGGTATTTTGATGGTTTTTGCCACATTTTTTCACCGATTTGTCTAAAAATTGGTATTTGTGGGTCATAATGGGTCCTAGTTCGTGTGGCGAAACATTTTAATTATAGGTCCACGTTTTGGTGTAGCCCCCATATAACGGTACCTCCCAATATTCGACATTTTAATGGTTTTTGCCACATTTCTTCTAATGTTTCCTTTACCCTAAGGTGGAGGGTATTAAAAGTTTGGCCCGGCCGAACTTAATGTTTTTTTCATTTGTTATACCCTCAGCCAGTAGACCAAAACGTGCATTATCGTAAAAACGATTTTAGACCCTAGGTCCCTTTGGATCAAATCCGATTCAGGAAATTTGGAGTTGAATTGGGAGTGTCTGGCTGGTCCGCACGATAACTCTCCAAGCGTGTATACGATTTGAGCTATACTTGGTACATCGGTCCATTTCTTCGGGTACCTCTCCCACAAAAGGTCAACATTTTTTCATTTTCATAGACAACAAGTAAGTAAAGGCTATGGTCGTGCGGGGCTGATCATGTGATAACCTACAAAATTATACATTGAAGGGCCAAATTCATCTCGGAAAACTTAGTTATACCCTACAACACTATGTGTTGGGGGTATTATAAGTTTGATTGGGCCAGAATTTATGTAACACCTCGAAATATTGGTTTCTCATATAGGATAGTATATATGGATCTTCCTAGCTCGCCGAGCTGAGTCGATCTACCTATGTATGTCCGTCCGTCCGTCTGTCTGTCCATGTTAATTTGTAATAACAGAATTTCGCATGTAGCTAGAGTTTAGGCCGGGGAAGAAGCCTGCCAATTTAGGTGGTCATAGAATAATATTTAGAGGGTAAAATAGACCATATATTTTTTGTTGAAAAAATTCAAAATTTTTCATTAAACCGCGAATATTTTAAATCCCGGCGAAATCACAAAACCATGACAAGGTTACTTCTGATTTTTACATTGATGTTAAGATCCAACAAATCGAATATATAGCAAAATATGTGCGATATATATGTCTATCAAAGAAGATATGTTTGAAAGATCTCATATATTTCGAGAACGGCTGAACTGATTTCGACAGTTCTCATTAATTCAGAATGACCTCTTGGCAGGAAAGAAAAAACGTCTAAAAAATCGCATAAAAATATCTCTCTAAAGATGAAAATATTGATTTTGTAAGTTTTTCTCATCTTTTTTCAATTTTGTCATATTTTTTGCATATTTTCATTTTGAATTAAACATTTGGTAATATTTCTACAGCTAACAAAACTAAGTAGTTAGGATATCAGGATATCATATACAGATCGCATTTATGGCCCGATCCTTACGAAATTTTGCATGGAGAGGGTCAGAATAGAAGCCTACTCTTTTTGGAGATGATCGAGATATATTTAGGGGTTGAAATGGTCCAAAAAACTGCAAAATTGTCAGCAGGTCGAAATTATCGCCCGACCCTCACGCACATTTGAATGGGGGTTACCGGACATTGCAAAAGCCGAGCAGTTTTGGATGGCCATCCAAAAATATTCAATATGTGAAGGAGTTTGCCAACTTTTGTAGACAAAATACGAAAATGTCCATTCCAGTGACTTTTTGGAGAATTCACAAATACAGGAAAAACGCACTTCTGACTATTTCGTTAATTAAATAGGAAATATATATAAACTGTATCGTTTATTATAGTGTTGTAGGGTATTCAACGGACAGCCCCGCTCGACTGTAGCCTTTGCTTTCTTGTTTTTGATATGATGTCATAGAGCCGTACCCTTAGCATTTTGACCAGAATATTTACGCACTCCCTCGTTTTGTTAGATATTCAAAACAATTTAACACGAAAATTGTGGTCCATTTTACAGCCGAATATAATCCAATGGTCATCCAAAATGCTAGACTTCTTCCCTGTACTTAACTCTCTTCTCATTCAAAATTCGGCGTCGTTGTGTTTTTAAATGTGACCTGTATAGTGACTGCAGGAAAATTTGTATAGTGACTGCAGGAAAATTTTAATTTTTTGTCCAATTGAACCCCTAACTGTACATCTTCAAACACAATAAGCTTTAATTCTGAACCTATTCCTAACCCCATGCAAAATTTCGTGAGCATCGCACGATAATTGCGTCCTGTATATAATACCCTTAACTCATATTTTACAATTTAAAAGTGTAAGTGAAATTGACAAAATCGCATGCGATAAAAAATATGACAGAAAAATTAAAAAAAAAAATGTAACAAAAAATATTCACTTTTTTATTGACACATTTTTACTTAGCTATTATTATTCTTTGGCAAGAGACCATTCCGAATTAATGGGAATTGTGAAGATCTGTCTAGCGGTTCTTGACTTATAAGGAGAATAATTAAGATCTATTTCTTTGACATATACAGGGTGAGATAAAAAAACTGCGAACTGGTACGAGTTATGCCCTTCAAGCGGCCAATGACACCGTCACACGTTGCCCGAACGTTGCTCTGCGATATTTTGGCCCACTCCCGGTGAAGCGCTTGCTTGAGGTGATCGACACTTTGGCATTTTTTAGTTCTAACCTTGCTTTTCAAAATACTCCATACACAATAGGCCAACGGGTTGGTATCCGGAGATTTTGGTGGCCATAGTGCTCTGGAAATGAAGGGAGAAACCTAATTTTGTAACCATTCTTGGGTGGCGCGTGCTGGGTGCGATGGTGCTGAGTCCTATTGGAATGTCCAAAGTCAAAATATTTGCGTGCCCATGGCTTTAATACACCCTCCAGAATATTTTCGCGATAATATTCGACATTTATTCTGATGCCACGGTCGATTAACACACCATAACCATGGCCGGCGCTTGAGTTCAGGTGACCAACCGAAGGTGCACGTTTTCAGCTGACCCCTTTGGCAAGTAAAAACGATTATTTTGTTTGTTTACAAACTGCGCGACAACGAATGTTTGCTCATCGGAGAAAACCAAATTTGGCAGTTCACCACTTTAGACCAGGCGAAGTAACTCTTTAGCTCTTTTGAGTATATTTTCTTTTTGTTGCGGTGTAAGTTCTTGCATTTTTTGGAATTTCAATGGCTTCACCCCGAGCTCATTTTTCAATATTTGCCGAATGGAATATTGCTATATGTTCAGCTCACAAGCCATTTTTCGCCTACTGTGACGCGGGTTTCTATTAAAGCGCATCTTTACTTTTCGAACCATGGCAGCGGACATGTTGACGTCGGGCTACGCTACCAGTTTCACTGTGACGAGAGATGGTACGAGACACAAAAGATTTATTGACATTTAACGATAGCCAGTTGTGGTTTTCCAGCCAAATATAAAGAAAGCACACTATCACGCTGGAATTCTATCACGAATTACTTTTTTTTCTGGAAAATTCTCACCAAAATGCTTTTGTACGCTTGTAAACAATATAATGAGCTGTCACTGGAATAATTTTAACAGCTGTCGGACGAGTGGCTTAGAAGTGACAGCAGCAGGTTGCAGTTTTTTTCATCTCACCCTGAATATTGTTCCTATTTTGCTACATAGTCAGAGGTGATTAAAAATATTTGCGATTCGTGGAAATGTTCGTATTTTCGTTCATAAAATCAGGAATTTTTTTTTTGTCGCAGCCAGGGTCTCCATAAGGACCCATTAAACCTTATGAAATAAACAGAGTAGAATTCTTCCCATGCTGGGGTTTTAAATGGGGTATTTTAATGATTTAAATTCTAAACATGATCTTTCCTCCATTTGGAAGGAACTTGAAAAAATTCTAAATAGACCGAAAAATACAGATTAAATGAAAAATGTAGTATGGGGGCTGTACGAAGACGTGCATAAGTAATTTTTTATCATAGGCTGTAGTACCCATTAAGATCTTCACATACGAAACTTTAAACAATACCCTCGAATAATGTTCCTAAAATCCACAAAATACCGAATATCGGGAGGTACCGTTACATGGAGGCTATACGAAAACGTGGACAGACATGACCCATTTATTTTGCCTACTGGCAAAATACTCAATGAGCAGCCCTCTGTCTCAATTCGTTCGAAATATTGCGTGATTACAACAGACAGACAGGCGAACGGCCATCGCAAATTTCGACTTAGAATTTTACGGATCTGTTATGAGTATTTCAAGGAACTACAAACTGAATGACAAAGTTAATATACCCGCCAAGGAAATTCAGGTGAATGCTTAAAATTCTAGTTTTAGATAATTCTTTTCGGCGTTAATAAATCAGTGAGTCATGTAGTCAGTCAGCAACCAACTCTTACATAAATTGTAATTGTATCTTAAATCTTAACACATGCAAATTTCAAGGCGGTCAACTTCCATGCGCTATTTCACAATCAAAAACCTTAAATCCTTTCCCCCCTCTAAATGCCAGCAATTATCTCAAACTTCCTTTAAAATATATAGTGTTATATATCAGAAGCTAGTTAATTAAGCCTCATCTTAATTAAAATATGAAATTTCCTTTTGTATCCTTTATTTCAATTTTCCCTTTACCCTTTTTCCTTTATTTAAAAAACGTTAAATAGCTCTTTTTCGTATTTCTCATATTACAAAGAAACCCTTTGGCTTCTCTCTTTTCATTTATTTCTATTTTTAGCAAGCCTTGGATGAAGCCACTGATGCCTGGGGTATAAAGGTTGAGCGTGTTGAAATGTAAATATCCGTTTCCTTTTCCCGTGCAAGCAACGAAAAAAAGTCAAAACCCATTAAGAAAAAACAATATCTTTGTTGTTTGTCTAAATGTTTTTTTTTTTTTGATTCACACTTTGTTAGCACAGAGTGATGGGAAGAGAGAGAGAGAGAGAGAGAGAGAGCGCGTGAAAAAATGTATGCTATATGAAAATAAATTTCATTTTCACACTTTCAGAAAAGACGTACGACTTCCGGTGCAATTACAAAGAGCCATGGCCGCTGAGGCGGAAGCAGCACGCGAAGCCAGAGCCAAAGTCATTGCAGCCGAGGGTGAGCAAAAGGCATCGCGTGCCTTGCGTGAGGCATCCGAGGTTATAGGGGCTTCACCGGCAGCCCTTCAATTGCGATATCTACAGGTTGGTCAATTTGCCTGGCATGCTAAATAGAAATGTTGAAAATGTTGTTGGTGATTACTTTTTTAATAAATATTCCACTCTCTTTCTCCCATTCTTTTTTTTTTTGCACCAATACCCAGACATTGTCACAAATTTCAGCCGAGAAAAATTCCACAATTGTTTTCCCCATGCCAATAGATTTGGTGACGTATTTCCTCAAATCAAAGGATGCTGCCACCCAACAACTGGCCCAGGCAGCTGTGGCAGCCATGGATGAAAAGTCAACAGCAATGCCGCAAACAACGTCAGCAAAAACACCACCACCAACAAACACATCAACAACAACATCGACAGCACCACCACCAACAACAACAGCAACAACGAATACAAACAACAATGGGAACAAGGACATCAAGTCATTAGAAAAATCTGCCTAAAACCAAAACCAATGTCAATGATTAATCTGCCAACAGCGAAAGCAGCAGTGGCCGGCCGCTTTCGACTGCCCCTCCGCCTGGCATCCATCGATCATCATCATGTTAATGGCCTGCTGATTGTTTTTGTAGAAAGTTTTCGCTTTTTGGTCAGCAGCTGTCAAAACATTTATGTGTAAGCGTGTGCGTGTGTCCTGGGGCTTGTTTACAACGAAATGCTTTCGTGTTAATTGACTTACTTAAATATCATTTGAAAACAACAACAAATACCCTATTACAGCTAACCTCTAATCTTGTTGAATCTTAGTGGAATAATATTCACACATCCGACCAATATTTTTGTTGTACGACATATGCTTCATCATGATGATGAATTACAACTCTCTAAAACATGTTGTACGACATATTGAATTGTTAATTGATATACATACACAGACACACACACTCTCTCTCTATATATATATACTTACATATTTACTGTGGTATACCACATCTATCTCCTCGACATCATTAATTTGTAGTTTTAATCGTTTATCCTAACTCAAGTTGTTCGCTATGAAACTACTCTACTTATAATTGAAGCTATTTACATGGACTTATATATTGGGGTGTATCGATGGCTGAATTTTTAATTTGAACAATATTTGAATATTGATTTTTCTAAAATATAGAGAACATAAGAAATCATAAGTCATTCTTCTGCTGAAGAGTTGTTAAAGGCGTTCTATCTAGCCAAGGATTTTCGGTATTCGGAAGACCTGTAAAGTTTTCCGACTACACAAAATCTGTTTGTAGAAGACTTCTATTACAAGCCTTATAACCTTCTATAGTTAGAAGATCTCCCGATTGACTTCCTTTAGAGGTCTTCTCTCTATAAAAGATGTGGTGTCTAAAAAAGATCTCAGAAATATAGAAGAACTTTTTTTAGCCATCTATCTATAGAAAATCTGTGGAAGGTTTTCTACTTAAAGACAAACTGTAGCGGGATTTTGTAGAACATTTTGAGCAATAAGCTACACAAACTGTAGCCTATAGACTACATAAGCCGATTTCATGATGATCCTTGATCAGACACAAAATTCATCACGCCATGACTTGGAAGTTTGATATGAGGCAAAATTGTGTTTCGTAGCATGAAATATACACACCAAGTCCTCTCACCCCTAAAAAGATTTTTTCACTCCCCCAAATGTGTAATTAAGTTGAAATTTAGATCATATACATTCGAAGCTTTCATGGGATTGAAAATTGGGTATATCGTCGTTACTCGTTTTCTCATAGCCTCCTTATAAATGTACCTCCCAATATTCGGTATTTTCATAATGTTTTTTCAACGAAATAGTTTTAAATTTTACAACAACACTATTTTACCTACAACACTACAATAGATTAGAAGCCCCCTTATGTCCAAATCCATTTTGGAAGATTTCGCTTTTGAAATTATGTGACGGAGCACTGCCCAGATATTACCCTTAGCATTTTGACCAGGGACATTTGCCCAATATTTACGTACTCCGTCATATTTTGCGATCATTCCTAAAAGCAAGAGACCCCTCTATATCTCCAAATTTAGACTCATCTATATGATTTGCTTGTCTACGATATTTGGTTATATTCGCCAACGAAATCAGCATAAAAAAGGCCAGAAGTTCGCCTTTTGTGTATTTCGGGTATCGCCTGTAAGTAATGCTGGTATTTTTTCACACAAAATTAGTGGTCCATTCTACCCGCTGTCCTAAACTTTAACTTCATGCGGGATTTCGTGTCCTTTGGTTTCTATTTATGACCTTTATAACGGCTGCAAAATCAGGAAAATTTTTAGTTGTTGGTCCATTTCAACCCCTAAATATATTGCGGACATCTTTAAAAACAATAGGCCAAGTCCTTCTGAGCCTAACCCTACCCTTTTCGTGAGGATCGGACAATAATTGCAATCTGTATATAATATCCCAAACCTGTGTTGTAAGGTGGAAAAATATTACAAAGTGTACACCTTAATATTATAAGTCAAATTGAAAAAATCGCATGCGATAAAATTTATGAAAAAATAAAAAAATGTCACAAAATACTACAAAATCTATATTTAGATCATTTTTGACTTATTTCTATGCGATTTTTTTAGATTTTATACTTTTATATCAAGAGGGCATTCTGAATTGACAAAATTTGTCAAAATCGGTCCAGCCATTCTTGAAATATAAGCATTCCATCTGATATTCCTTTCCGTTGTATATATACATTGTATATATTTCGCTATATATATCCGATATATTTAATATCGGCATCTACGTAACGGTCAGAATTGACCTGTTCGTCTATTTATGATTTCGCCGGGACTAAAAATATTCGCGGTATGATGGAAATTTGACTTTTATTTAACATAAATGTTATAGTCTTTTTCACCCACTAAATATTACCCGATGACCATCAAAATCGGAAGGCCACTGCCCAGCCCGAAGCTTTAGCCCCATGCTAACTTCCGCGTCGATTGGTCTATAATTGTGACCTGTAGGGCAACTGCAAAATCAGGCAATTTTTCAGTTTTTGGTCCATTTCAACCCCTAAATTTTATGCGATCATCTCCAAAAGAAATAGGGTTCGATTCTGGTCTTAACCCTACCTCCATTTTCAATTTCGTGAAGATCGGGCCATAATTGCGACCTGTAGAGTGATTACAAAGTAACATGGACAGACGGACGTACATAGCTAGATCGACTCAGCTCGGCGAGCTAGGAAGATCCATATATACTTTCCTATGTGGGAAACTAATATTTCGTGGTGTTACATAATTTTTGGCCCAATCAAACTTATAATACCCCCAACACATAGTGTTGTAGGGTATAAACATAAGGCTGGAGGGAAATCTTCGTATAAATATCGTGCTCTACAGACACTGCCACTAACGAGTAACACTTGCGAGTAAGTACGATCAAATCTGAGCTCTGACACTTAAATAAATTCTTTATCGATAATATTTTCCGAAAAATCAGCCATATGCCTAGAGAGGGTATATAACATTTGATACGGCCAAAACATGTCTCATCGAAATAACAGTTTTAGAATAGGACCCTGGCTGGTGCGTGTTATAACTCTCGAAGGGTGTATCCGATTTGCTCTCAACTTGTTACGTCGTAATATTATTATCAAACATAGATCGAGTTCGGATGGGAATTATCGGTCCACTCCTTTTTGTACCTCCTCCATAAAAAGCCGACATTTTCAAAAGAATATTTTACTGCACAGAAAAAGTAACAATAATCCGATTTTGCACCAAATTTGCAAATCGTAATATTTCCATCAGTGCTATATCAGTTGGGAAAATGGGCAATATTGGTCCACTCCATCAAATACCTCCACCACAAAGGGTCAAAATATTTGAATAATAACAGCTCTTATAAAATGTGATGTAAAAGTCCGATTGTCTTCAATTACACACACATCTTCTGGTACCTCCCCCATAAAAAGTCATAATTTTGAATATCCATGCCATTCAAACCTGGCATATCTCAATATTTCTATCAACAAAACATTTGCTGAAAAGATGGTAGAGATTGGATCATTCCTTCTGGTACCTCCCCCTCAAAGGGTCAAAGTTTTGAATAACCAAAACTGTTATAAAATCCGAAATAAGCATCAACAACACAAGATATGCGGTTTAGATGGGATGTATCGATCAACTCCTTCTTGTACCTCTCCCACAAAGGGTTACATTTTTGAATATTCATGAAGCTCATAAAACGCGAAATTAACATTCGATTCCATTCAGACATGATACATCTCAACATTTCTATCAACACAAGATCTGTTATAAAGATGGTAGAGATCGAACGATTTCTTCTGGTACCTCCCCCACACAGGGTTCGTGGTTTTGAAAAACAAAACGCTCAGAGAAAGCGAAATAAGCATCCAATCCTCTTCAAGTTCTACACATACAAACATTTCTGCTAACACATGATCTGTTGGTTCCCCACCCACAAAAGGGCACAATTTTCAATGCCTTTATCTGTCGTAACTTCTGAAACAAGTAAGCGGTTTTTTACAACTAAATATTTCTCTCAACAACAAACCTGTGATGAATATGGAATGTATGATTTCGGATAAAAGTGGATATGAAAGTTCGATTTTCTTGTAATTGTGTAATACCCCATATTTATTTAAGTCCGATACGAAATAGACAATATTGACCCATTCCCTCAAAACCCACTCCATAGAGTATCAAAAGTTTGAATAATCAAGACAGAAGTCAAAATATATTTAAATAATCGAAAATGGCTAAGTATAGTAGTCTCTCTGCAGAATTGATTGATACTTTTTAACTTTTTTTATTTCTATGTTGTGAATTTTAAGCGTGTGAGGGACTTTAATACACAATCGGATGAACATATATATGATACCTATAGCTATATCTGAACCAAATTTCGCCAAATTCGATACACTCTCTTCCAGTCTGAGTTCGTTTGTTTGTGCCAAAATCCATTCAATTCTGGATTAAATTAACCATTTGGTGTACAAAAAACTTGAAATCTGAAACGATCTCGATAAAATTTGCCAAAGGTATTTCTGAGCTTTATTTTATATATTTTCTCGAGTAGCGTTGTTACAGAGTACATATTACGGCTATGGTGGACATATTTAACAAATTGGATGAAACATATACAGGGTTGCCCATATTCGACGGACCCATGACTCTTTGTGCTCATTCCAATCGACGAGGCTTGTCCGCAGGCAAAGTTCTTTGCGTCAATTGAATTTTGTACGGGAACAAATGCAAATCAATGCGAATAATCCGTTGTAAAGTGGACCGAGCCATACCCAACTGCTAAGAACGGCGTTTTTGGGATGTTCTTGGGGACCTCTCAACACTAGCTCGTACGGCAGCGATATTCTCGGTCGATCGCCTTGGTCGACTTTTATATGGCCTCTTTGGATTAGAAAGAGCCTTACCAGTCGAAAATTTTTCGTATAAACGCTTAATGGTGTTCTTAGAAGGCGCACTTCTCACATTTTTTTCACAATTGAATTCTTCTGTTGAATGTAAATTTCAACTATTTCAGAGCGCTCGCGTGGCGTGTATTGGTTCATGGTAAAAATCTGTCTAGCTATATCTGAACCGATTTCAACCAAATTTGACATACATGGTTTTAGGCTCAATGAGGTTGTGTGTACCAAATTCCATTCAATTTGGACTAATATGACACATTTGGTGCACAATAAAGGAAAAACCGTACGAAGCTATATCTATCGATTATCTCCAATTCCAGTAGGGTTCGTCCTTGGGTCAAGCAAATGATTTGTTCAAAATTTCATCTGGATCGGGGAATAAATACGACCTGTACTTTGTCTACAACAATACATGGACAAACGGATGGACGGACATGCAGAAATCGACTCAAAATGTGAAACTATGCAGATCATATGTGGGCCTATGGGACTATATCGCTTTGTTCTCTATGTTACAAACAAATGGACAAAGACATAATACCCTGACCACAGTGTGGTGTAGGGTATGTAGTTCCGATATTCGGAATTGTGAAAGTATCTATGTAGACCCAGTATTAGCTACAGCCTCTTATAACTATACCTTTTACAACAGCTGGGAAATACAACCATCCTCTTGACGAAAGAAGAGAATTGTTGGCTTGTTCGCCATATTAGTCTATTTTTATACCCTCCACCTTGGAAAGGAGGGTATATTAACTTTGTCATTCCGTTTGTAACATCCTTAAATATTCGTCTTAGACCCCATAAAGTATACATATTCATAATCAGCATAAAATTCTAAGTCGATTTAACGATGTCCGTCTGTCTGTCTGTCTGTCTGTTGAAATCACGATACAGCCCACAATATTTGACGTAGAGCGCCAAAATTTGGCAGAACAATTTGTATTGTGTCTAGGATGGTTGGTATTGAAAATGAGATATATCGGTCCACGTTCTGGTATAGTCCCCATATAACGGTACCTCCCGATATTCGGTATTTTGATGATTTATGCCACATTTTTTCACGGATTTATCTGAAAATTGGTATTTGTAGGTCACAACGGGTCCCTGTACGTGTGGCAAAACATTGCATGTATAGGTCCACGTTTTGGTATAGCCCCCATATAACGGTACCTCCCGATATTCGGTATTTTGATAATTTATGCCACATTTTTTCACGGATTTGTCTGAAAATTGGTATTTGTGGGTCATAATGGGTCCTAGTTCGTGCGACGAAACATAGGTGCTCGTGTTGGTGTA